GGGGGAGCGCGCATGGTGCCCCCCCCCCCCCCCCCTCATTGCATCCGCCATTACAATCCACAGCCTTGGGTCTTACCGAGTGTGTCAAAAATAAGTGAATTCGAATTGTTCTCATTATAGCCCATTACGGATGTCAAATAGATAATGGTCCCATAATTTATCAGCTTAGCACAATCACACGATAATGACTATGTTTATCCGCCCGGAGGGAAAAGTTGAGTGCACCCAACCAAACTTTTATCGTCACACCTTCACATAGGAAAAATAATTTCCCCATAAATTACAACTCTGTTACCTTGGTCACCAGAGTAGGGGACCCACAGCACGGGATCACGAACTATAAACCCTCAGATATAGAGTTATAGTCTAATTTTCTTGTTTTTGGTCCATTTGTCGTAATGGAGGTACGTGAAGAGCTAAGTGACCACTTGTGACGTGAAATACAGTGTATACAGTGTATTAGCTATTTTGAATTTCAATCTCGAAAACGTGTTTGTGGATCCGTAATTTACCATTTTTTACTTTATATAGGGTATGTGTGGTGAAACAGACAAAAATGCTGAAATTTCTAGGAAAATTAATCTTTTCTGTATTTAGGTACCAGTATTATGCGCATCGTAGGCCATTAAAATGCGGAATCCATACACCCTAATCTTAACCCTCAATATGACTAATTCACACTAGTTGTTACGTGCTTGGCGTAGGACTCCATGCGGAACTCCACACACATTTTACCAGACCAAGATGATAAGTATGTCTTTTTTTAATGAAAACAATTTATTTAACTTTGTAATCCTACTGAGTGTACATCTTAAGTCCGAACTTTGAAAGATGTGTATACGTAAAAATGAGTCACTAGTGTCACCTTAATCAATAGTGTAGTAATTGACTTGCATTGCCACTTCGAACATATTGTAGATATAGGCCTACACTGTGTAGTAATATATGTAGAATGCCAAGCCTGTAAAATAATATAATTAGTTTAGAATCTATGGGGAAAATGTGGCTCATTGCTTAGACTGACTGGAAATCAGTTTTTATATTCTTACCGACTTAAACGTTCACCGACCTTTAATCTGTATTTTTCTGTGCCCTAGCAGTATGCATGCGTGTTTGCATTTGCGCGTCTGCGTAATGTTTGTGTGCGTGCGTGCGTGCCTCAGCGGCGTTAGTGAAGGAGTTTGTAATGTGTCTGGCTAAAGTGTGTATCGACGAGTCCCAGTGTCAAAATAAAATTAGCTGCTTCGAATTACAAAAGACATCTTCAACTTCCATGAGAGGTTTACAAGAGCTTATATTTACACTGTTAAAAGAGACGTGCTGTTTGGGACCTCTATCCTCTTTGTACAACTGGATTTTTTTCTTTCTTTTTCTTTTTAAATATATAGATAGGATTGGCTGGCGGTTACATATTGGAGAACACTTGGACTCCAACGTGTCTAGTCTTTTCAGACTTCAAAGTTTTATTCAGTGTCAAACACAAGGTCTAACATTTTTGAAAAATGTATTAATTTTAAGTTGTCAGTTTATAAACATGTTACTTTCTACACCCATTTCAAGCTATTATATTGTGTATTGTACCTGTGATAACTTTCGAAGAACGTCCGTAAAAAGGACTTATTGTCGAACTAATTAATTGATATATTTTCGTATTCATTATTATTTATTTAACTTACTCATATTATTTTCTTATTATTATTTTTCTGTAAATTAATTTTTATTTATTAATTTATTTATTGCCTATTTTAGGGATGAAGCTGGGGGCCACCAAGCCGATGATCTATTACTTCCCCGGAATGCTCATTCTGGTATTTATGATGACTGTATTCGAAGTTGGTGTCCTCAAAAATACCCTGTCGTTGAAAATTCAAGCAACATCAATAGATAGGCCAACATACCTTGAGCTGGACGTTGTAACCATGGAAACATTATCCCGCCATCTACGTCACATCATGGAGACAGAGACCCGGATGGAGATAAACGATCTGATTGGTCAAAATAGTCTAAACGTCAAGGAAAGCCATAAAAGTGGAATAAGTCGAAATATTCCCGATACACGGCCCGAGTCTTGTACAACTATTGAATACAGCATAGAGAATCTTCCCTACGTCAGTGTTATCATTCCCTTTCATAACGAACTCTCCACGGTGATCTTAAGAACAGCTCACAGTATTCTCATGAGGACACCGTCATCTTTGCTCAAAGAAATAATACTCGTCGATGATGCAAGCACACATGACTATCTCAAAACACCTTTGGAGACATACATCTCGACGTTGTCCCCAAAGATAAAACTGTTACGTTTACCTGAGCGTTCGGGATTAATCCGGGCACGGTTGCACGGGGCGCGGTTGGCAACGGCTGAGGTGCTATTCTTTCTTGACGCTCACTGTGAAGTCAACACGCATTGGCTGGAACCGCTTCTTTTGGAACTCAGCAAGGACCGGGATGTTCTGATCGTTCCTGCTATAGATAGAATAGACGCTCATACAATGGAGTATAGTGCTATGGACCGTGCCTATCGTGGGACTTTTGCTTGGGATTTGGAATACACCTGGCAGATTGTACCAAATAAACAGAATCAGATGCTTACTGAGAATTCACCGATATTTAGTCCAACGACGGTCGGTTGTGCCATGCTCATTGCCAAGGAATATTTTTATCATATTGGTGCTTTTGATAGCGAAATGAATATTTGGGGAGGGGAGAATATAGGGATATCTTTTCGCACATGGTTGTGTGGACACGGGATCAAGATAGTTCCGTGTTCACGTGTTGGACACGTGTTTCGTCCCAGATTACCTTATAAAAATTTCACCTATCACGTGCTTCACCAAAATCTCCGGCGGGTCGCGGAAGCATGGATGGGGGATTATAAAAAATATTTTTATCTTTCAACTAAAAACGTAACTCTTGGTGCTGAGGAAAAAAGGACGCTGCGTGCGCGGCAGAGACTTGCAGAACGCTGCCGCGCACGAACTGGGCGTGATTTCGAATGGTATCTTAGTCACGTGGCCACTGACATCATAATACCACCGGATGGCGCAGTGCACTTCGGCCAGGTGAAGAACATAGCCTCACAGGGATGCTTGACCGTTTCGGACATCGGTCATTTCACTGTAGCCGAATGCGCACACTTTACCAAATCACAACAGTTTGCCCTGGATTCCACAGGGCGTTTAATATATCAGGATAAATTCTTAATTACGAGAAAAAACCCGAGCGCGTCGTTTGGACTTACAGTGGTAGACGCACCTATAAAAAATTATGCTACAGAAGAACTGGGGAAATGGTACTTGGATACGGAAACTCCAGCATTTATTCAACAACTACGAACAGGTCGCATTAAGACCCCGGTCGGAAGATTAAGACTACAGTTAAAAGGCGTGCCTGCTGCATCATCGTGTCTGACCCAGTTGACAGCGGATCACACATCCGGAGAGCAATACGTCGACTTGCACCAATGTGAAGAGAAGCAAGTGTTTCAGTATTGGCAGTTTTATCATCACGTCCATGGTGCTGACGCAATGTTTAATTAAAGGCACTGCAATTACCAATAGAGCAAATTCATAACTTTCCTGAAAATTTCCACTTCTTTTCTTGTATCACCAAAATATAGGCCTATATCTCATTTATTCAAAATGAAATTGAGGATGTTTTTTAATATTTACTTTTTAGGTTTTGAATCATTCTGGTAATGGAGATATAGGCCTACTGGTGCCCCGTGAACTTCACCAGTAGCGGTAAAATATCGAAATAAAGAACTCAAACACTTGCCTATAAATGGTTATTTCCTAAACAGCTTTTGGCAATGGTGCTTAGGCGATAAAGGGAGACTTGTTAAAATTATCAGGATTTTTTTTTTTCATTCTATTTATTTATGAATTTTTTATCATTAATTTAATATATTTTTTTCTGTCGTAATGTAAGACGTTCAAATGCAGTAAATCATAGTGACTTTAAACTAAATCAGTTTTTGATATGTCACTGCCCGAAAACAACAGAGGGCGGGTTTTTTTAACAAAATAAAGCGAAAACACTCCCTTGAACGACAGATTGGCGAATTTTTAGCACAAGAAAAGCGAGTTAAGTGGGCACGAATAAAAGTGCATTTGAGATGCAAAATACTTTTACAGTCAAAAGGTTCAAGCACTTCCATCGCAGTATGTTAATTTTTCTTTAAATGAATAAAACACTCCGTCCTTTTTTTTTTTTAATGTTTTTGTGTCAATTTTGCAAAAAAAAAACAAAAAAAAAAACAAAAAAAAAACGAAAACTCACACGCATAGATTATTTTTTTACTTTAACTTAATTTAATAAAATACTTTACGTGTTAAATGATATGCAAGAAGGCAATCAATTTGTCCAATCAACTTAAATGACCAAATCTTTATGTTTATAATTGTCATATTTTTTGCTAGTCAGTTCTCCTGTCCACATTGAGCAAAATATAAATCTTTACGTTTCTTATGATTCGAATGACTACCAATCAGATATACACATTGGGTCTACATATAAAAAGAAATGCGAACATTTTATCCCCACTTTCGTTTCTTTTTTTTTTTTTTCTTAAAGGTAAAGCAGACGAATTTGTGTTCCGATGTGAAGCGAGAAAATCTAACTTACTAGCTTAACACGAATTCGAAACATCATGTCAAAACTCGTACTAAGACTATTCTAAACATTCAAATCGGTGGTCTCCATCTATAATTATATACGAGATCCACGAGTATCTGTGTACGAGGAATGGTAAAGACGTAGATGCGCAACTTTAATTTCTAAACCATTAATTTAAAACGCGCTGCGTATAGGAAAATTTATTTTTCTTTGGGCGGGACTTATGAACCGGATTTTGAAAGTTTAAATTATTACCTCACAAATATAACAACGTCTGTCTCCTATTCGTATCAATTTAATAAATGATAAATTGAATTACACAGATAACGATCATCATATGCCGATCAAAACGCTTCTGAACTGAAAACAGGACAGCGCTCCTTTCAAAATTCAACAAATGAAATCACATAAAATTAGTTTGTTTCTTTTACTCATTTAAGTGCATCAACTTTGTTTCATTACACTATGTATATTATATATGTATATGTGTGAAAGACGAGTCATTCTGAGACGATCGTATTCCAAAAACCACCAATATGATGCCGATTTGTATACACTGGCTGTCCATTCGTCAACTCTCTTAATCCAGATCTTTGCAGTGACCTCTGACCTTTCCAGAGATCACTGGATGACCTCTGGCCTTTTCCTACACTGAACAACGTTGCGTCTTTATTCAAAGATTTTCCGTTCAAATTAACAGTGTGGTTAACCTGCCCTAGGTTACTTTGGTCCATTTCAGATATGTTTGGACGTGCTCCATGTAGAAGAGCTTTTTCTTCCACGCTGGACAGAACTTTCAGGCTCTCTTGAATGTCTGAAATTGTGAGCTCTTTTTCTTCCGAAGCAATGACTTCCCTACTACTACTTTGATCCCCTGACGTTTCTGTGTGCAACTTCTTTTTGTCTTTTTTGGACAATTCCTTATCCAAGGATCCCTTCTTGACTTTTGTCCTAGAAAGTTTCTTGGAACCATTGATGACTTTTCCCTTCCTTATGGCTCTTCCAGAAGAATTGCGCTTGTATTTAATTTTATCTTGTACCTCTTTTGTCCCTATGTGGGTATTACTTTGAACCACCCCTTGTTTTGAAGCCATCTTGGATCTTTCTCCTTTGCGGCGGTTTTGTATTTTTTCAATTATCATGGTGGGCGAGGCCTCTGCCAGTTCGCTTTTCTCCATCCAAGTTGTATTCCTGGTGTAACTGTGATGGAACAGTTTGGAGTCTGGTTCAATATAAGGATGCACCGTTGAAAAATGGAATAGTAAGTCATCCCGACTTAGACTACAGCTGGAGCATTTGAGACATAAGAAGTATGGCACCTCTTGCATGGCACCTGCTGATGGTTTTAAAGGAAAGGTGGTTGAGTGATGCATCTTCATCTTTGGTCCGAGGCTTGAATTGGTCTTGTCTGTTTTTTTCTTCCACTCTTTGGGATTTCCTCTGTTGGTAACTTGGCTGTCAGATTTTGCGCATTTTGATTTGAAGGTCGTCTTATGTTGCTTATAAGCTGTTGTGGGTGCCATGGCGGGTTTCTTGTTTGTTCGTTTTGAATACATGTTTCTTTCTTCTCCAAGCGTTGCATTTTTTACAGTGTCCGTCTCACCTTTCAACTTCTTTATCTTATGATAACGAACTGCTTTTATTTTTTCAATTATTGTTTCATCCGAAGCCCCTTCAAGCTCCCGTTTCTTGATTAGAGCATACCGTCTTTGGCACATACTGTAAAATGTCCTACTTTTGACAGTGATTGAGGGGTGACTGCACTCAATGTGACTAGATATAAGAGAAGGAAGTAAATAGACATAGGTACATATATGACAGCGATAATATACAACAATTTTAAAATCACTGTCTTGATTTATTTGACCATACCTTTTAAGAACTGTCAAATTTTTGGACACATTCTTGTAGGCCCTTTTCTCCTCTAACTTCTTTCGAAGTATCATGTTCACTGGGGTTTCAGAAATTCCCCTAAGTTCTTCCTTATTCATGTGAGCTGTTTCTTTGGCAAATCCTTGGTAAAATCGCTTTGACCCTTGGATAACGCTGTGTCTGGTCTGTAAGTGCACAGAAATGTCTGCCCGTTCCAGGCAGCAGTACATGCAGTTCTTACACCTAAAGAACCTCACTTCATCTTTCCCATCCTCTGGTGACCTGCCTCTTTTACCCTTCACCCGTTTCTTCGCGGGGACATTATCTGAGGAAGATCCTGGCTGGGAGGACTGCTCCACAGCTCTGTCTTTAATCCTTGGCCAGGCTGACTGCTTTCCACTATTCCTTTGTAAAATGTTATCACCTGAAGCCACTAAGGGGATATCCTTCAATGGACTTTCTGAGTTGTCTCTCAAGGCCTTTTTAGCCTGAAGAAACTTGGAGATTCTATTTCTCGAGGAGGACTTAGCAGCTTTTGTGTTTAGGTTTTTTATTTCAGTATCAGCACTGTCGCCATTCGAGGGATTTTCAGTACCAGAAAGGGACTTGGCTCTTCTCTTTCTGATGGGAGATCCTGGAGTACTTACCTTGGGTCTTTTTGCTGGAGAAGCTGTATACTCATCATTTTTTGAGATTTCAGCATGAAGACTCCTTTTTCTAGGGGATAAACTTGCACTTCCTGTCTTCAGTCTTGTTTCTTCAAAATCTGTCAGTTCAACTTCATCCAGGAGCTCAAAGCTCCTGGTTTTAGAGAAAGATCTTCCACTTCCCATCTTCCAACTTGTTGTTTCAGAATCTGCTGGTTCCTCATTTACAGGAATTTCATCCAAAATCTTGAGGCTCTTTTCTCTGGATGTGTCTGTGACATCTGTTTTCTGTAAGATCCCTACATTGTTCATTTTTACCACCTCCAAAATTTCACAAAATTGAGAATCATCATTTTGTGCTCTTTTACACTGTTCCAAGCTAAAATCAACATACTTTTGTTGGGTGTCAAAGGAAGTGTAACCTTTATCATTTGGTACGTTCTCCACATTGGAACTACCTCCATTGTCTTGGTTGCTTAAAATTAACCCTTTTTTCTTGCGATTTAAGCTCAATTTTCGAAGTGGATCTGAAGTTAGAAAATTAGATTTCTCAACTGCTTGTCTGTCCACATTCCGCACAGCCACTGAGGCATTAGTGTTTGTGGAAATGTTCCTGATATTGGGTGCTTCACCACTATTACTGCAGTCCTTAACCTGTTGTATCAACTTCAGTTTATTTTCCCACGGTGTCATAAAATTATCCTGGTTACTCCCTTCAGAAGTTCCTTCAAGTAAAGACGTAGAACCATCAAAAATATTTCAAATATTCAAACTAGACAACAGAGCTTGCAAATATACAGCCTCCAAGCAAACAAACAAAAAAAAATTGCAACTTTTAAATAATCAATAACATTTTCTGCCAGTCAACATAAAAAACCTGCCTTTTTAACAATGACAAAAATTGTCTTTTTTTTTTTTTTTGCTTACCAAAATGTTTGCTCCCCAAGTGGCCAAAGGTGGGTCCCAATAGGAGGGGTTGCTGCGGTAAGTTCAGGGGGACTGGACTCTTTAAAAAAGCAATCACATCCTCATCTCGCTGCAGACTGACAGCTGATGTTGACACTATTTGTGGTCTACAATTATAAAAATATACATAACAAATATATTGTATTTACTGGACATCATATCTTCTTCATTCTTCAAAATATATTAGTTAATGTAGAAAGAAGTAATAGCAATACTATAGTTGTACTAGTAATCATATCTCAAGCTGGTATTGGACTGATTATTGGATTTTACATAACTATCTATTTACATCTGCATATTTGCTATTAAAGATAAATTGTTTTTGTTTTATAAGGAAGTGTGTGTGTGTGTGTGTGTGTGTGTGTGTGTGTGTGCATTTTTTTTTTTTGTAAAAAATTTAATGGAACACGATACTGCTAATCTAGTTTTTCTTCTCTTTATACAATATAATTTCTTTTCCATTTACTAGTAACTTTATACCCAAAACTGAACTTGTTTCTTAGACTAAACATACCAAATAGAGTATTTAAAATGATATAATTATTTTAATACATGACAATGTCAACTGCCATATAATCATATGTATTTTAAAACAAGCTTCAATTTCTCCAGCTCCCACCCCCAACAACAGCCAAAACACCCTTTCAAAACCCCATTTATTTTTTCTTTTCAATTCAAATCCTGCAAAAAGAGTAGGCTTGATGTTACCTTGTCTCCAATGCCTCATTTTTATGTCTATGTGGACCAGGATAACTCTTTTTATATGGAAAATGTACTGATGGCCGCAGGAACTGCTCATCTTCAAATTCAGAGTGAGGCAAAATCAGAGGATTTCTCCTTGGAATTTTTGGATGAAAGATATTTGAAGAATTCCCCCTCCCACTGACAGCCTCACTGTGAGAATGTAGTGAATTTCCTCTTCGTATTACAGCCTCATTATGAGGCAATGCCAGAGGTTTTGGTGACAATACCGAATGCTCTGGTCTGACTTCCATTACATCTGATGCACTCTGTGTTACCAAACATGGAGGCGGAGTTGTCAGTGTCCGTCCTGTTTTAAAGCCAGACTGGGAGGATGAGGGCATCTGATATCGCCTTGACGTACTCCCTAACACTACATGAGATTGGTTACAGGGAGATGGTGATAACAACTGCTCCCTCCCATTCAGCGAGACCTGTTGAACTGGCTGTGTACGCCCCTGTGGAAGTAATGACTGCTCGCTTGGAAATTTTGTCTGATGGTGAGGCTCTTTCAGTAATTCAAATGACTGATCCATATGTCTTTGACTTCCTGGCTTACTACGGCTGAATTGTAGGGGATTAGTGGAAATCAGTTGACTCTGATATTCAAGTAACTCGTCTCGAGTAAGATGTGAAGGAATTGGTGAAACATATGACTGCTGTCTCGTGTTTCTTGCTTTATGTTGCTGGGTTCTTAATACTAGTTCATGTGAAAAGCTCGTTTCTGCAGGATTGTGGGACTGAGACAGAAGCTGCTGTCTAGGTTGTGGGCTGGGCTTGCATTGCAGGTTATAAAAATGTCCAGAATCAGTCAAAATGGGTTGCACTGGCATGTTCTGAAAAAAATTCCACAACTTTCATTAAAATTATTATAAGTGACTGACTTAGTGTGTGTGTGTGTGTGTACGTGTATGTGTGTGCGCGCTAAACTTTTCAGCTTACTGGCCTTTTGGACCACCACTTACAAAAAATGTTTGTCTGAATTGGGATTCACTGGTCCAAATAAAAATTTTGAAATAAAAATCACAAACTCGGGAACAAGTAGCACGAAAATTCATGCATTAGCACTCCTATTGACGATATTGATATGTAGTGGCTGAGTTAGCACAGCCAGTACATATATCAGAATAGTCAATACGAGTGCTTACGCATGAATTTTCGTGCTAAGGAACAAGCAGAAAGCTTATTGACAATTACCCCTTGAATAAAGAATCAACTGAAATTAAAACTGAAAAATGAAACAATTTACAAATTTGTTTTAATGATATTAAAAAATGGTCAACTGTACTAATCAACAAATACAAAAAAGCTTTTCATATCAATCATCATGACAACATATGCAGTTTACGTAAAAGTGTGGGGTAAACACTAACATGAGGTTTTAATTAAGTACAGTACTCCTATTAACGGTATCTTGTACAGATTATACTAAAATATATACTATAACATAAGAACTGTGTCAGCAATTGTTAATTGGGACGCCTGGCCAAAGCAAGTCAAGAACAGTTTAAGCGAAATATCTTTTTTTCAATTATTTGCTCTGTAAACAAAAGAGGTATGTGGTGTAAAGCATTTGGCAAAACTCCACTCTGCTAGAGGGAGCCCTAACTCAAACATTGTTACAGAGAGAGAGAGAGAGAGAGAGAGAGAGAGAGAGAGAGAGAGAGAGAGAGAGAGAGAGAGAGAGATTTCATCTGCATAAAAAATACTAACCAACAACCGCTGAACAAAATCTAACTGGAGCTGATGATCAAATTCCAAAGCCGAACAGACGAGAGAAATATTCCCGCTGCCATTTATATTCTAGTGTCGTTCTTAGTCACGTGATCTATTAGTCGTAACGGATTTAATCATAGTTAAATCGTCTTAGTATATATGTTGATCAATAATTATCTCATTATGCAATATATAAAGAACATCATGATGTGATATAGGATAAAACATGTATATTATTGTTCGGAAACTCTTGTCGTCGTCCTGATGGCAAGTACCAGTTTTTGGCAGGGCGGGGAAATAGGTCAAGAAGCAACAAGGCACCGAGATAAACAGAAGTTTGACTCACTAAACTCCACTTCATCTACTCCTAGAAAAGAGACGGGTTTTCTTTGCTTGGTGAGTACATGATCTACTCGACATTTGAGTTTGAATAAAGTGCTTTCATGGTACGGTTTGGGGAAGAGATTGATGTGATCTGATCAGAAAGTGACTCTGAATGCTGCAGTGTTCGTAATTGCAGTGGAAAAGTGTCAGTGATAATATGGAGTTTTGACAGATGGATGTACGTCAGGCATGGTATTGATCGCTTCCATTAAGGACTTCATGGACGTGATAGTATTGTCTTGTAATGGTAAACTAACCATTGGATTGGATTCCCAGGACAATTCCTACCGTCAAAAACACTTCTATACACATGTACTATGTAGATAGATCAATAGATCGATAGATAGATAATATAGTAGTAGTAGTAGATACATTTTTAGTCTTTACAACTTTCCCCAACTAAATGTTTGTGATTAAATTATGTATTTATTTTTAGATATGCTAATGGGTGAATAAACCTTAATCTGTTTCGATATGGTGATGTGATAATGACTGAGTAAAACGCTGTCTTGTAGATATACTTGAGTCTGCATTATTCTGGGGTTAATTTGTGCATTTACAAAGGCGTGGTATTCATTAAAAAGTGACAAACAGGGTAGTAAAATTTTCTAATTTTATCTTTTAACTTTGACATTGGACAGATAATGCTACTGTAGTGTAGTATATATAGCCCTAATATATAAGCCATGTAGTAAAATCTTTTTATTTTGACAATTTAAGAGTTCAGGGTGCTACAGTGTGTTGGCCCAGTGTACAGTATGAATAACATAGTAAAAATCCTTTAACTTTGACGATTTACAGATAATAGTCATCATCCACAGCCATGGGACTGTTCAGCTCCCCTACACCCTATCACGGACAGGTATACAGTGATCTACGCAAGCAGGCCCAGACATCAGGACATCCGTTCATAGACACGGATTTCCCTCCAGATGACAAGTCCCTGTTCTATACCAAGGGGAAACTGGCGGGAGTGGAATGGAAAAGACCCAAGGCAGGTTTTTTGATTATGATGATGGTGAAAATTTGAAAGGAAGTTGAAAAAGATTGATGACATTATGATGATAACAATAATAAGTTAATTGAACTGTAAATAATAAAAACACTCAGCATTGCAAAGGGCCACGGTACTTGCTTTTCTTTCATGATTCTTTCTTTCTTGATATGAAAAAAATACAATTATAGTGATAGTTAATTTAGCTAATTATGATGAATATCAAACTGTTTATAGTATAAAAATACTTATCCTGTTATTATTATTTGATTATTCTAGGATATTTGTGAAAACCCCAAACTGTTTGTCGAAGGAACAAGTAGTGGGGACGTATCACAAGGCCAGCTGGGTAACTGCTGGTTTGTCGCAGCTGCATCTTGTTTGGCCAATGAGAAGGCAATTTGGCAGAAGGTATGTGATACATGAAGGACTTTGAAGTAACATGTGGGGACAAATATTTAGATTTTTTTATGCAGGCATTCATGTTTTAATAAGTCCTTGTGACTTTGTGGTGCCTAGATAAGACAAAGTTTTGTTATTTTAGTTGAATTATTTTTCTTTTTGAAAGATTTACTCCTTTAAATGTGTTAGGAACTTAGGAGAGTCGAAAATGTGTCTAAAATTTGAGGGGAGGGAGAGAAGTCAGTGTACAGCCTGGTCATTATTGTAGCAGTCTCAATTCTTCTTTCCTATTATTACCTCTTATTTCTCTTTCCAGGTTATCCCAAACCACAATTCTTCTTAAGTATTATTACTTCCTACTNTGTGTCGTTCTTAGTCACGTGATGTATTAGTCGTAACGGATTTAATCATAGTTAAATCGTCTTAGTATATATGTTGATCAATAATTATCTCATTATGCAATATATAAAGAGCATCATGATGTGATATAGGATAAAACATGTATATTTTTGTTCGGAAACCCTTGTCGGCGTCCTGATGGCAAGTACCAGTTTTTGGCAGGGCGGGGAAATAGGTCAAGAAGCAACAAGGCACCGAGATAAACAGAAGCTTGACTCACTAAACTCCACTTCATCTACTCCTAGGAAAGAGACGGGTTTTCTTTGCTTGGTGAGTACATGATCTACTCGACCTTTGAGTTTGAATAAAGTGCTTTCATGGTACGGTTTGGGGAAGAGATTGATGTGATCTGACCAGAAAGTGACTCTGAATGCTGCAGTGTTTGTAATTGCAGTTGAAAAGTGTCAGTGATAATATGGAGTTTTGACAGATGGCTGTGCGTCAGGCATGGTATTGATCGCCTCCATTAAGGACTTCATGGGCGTGATAGTATTGTCTTGCAATGGTAAACTAACCATTGGGTTGGATTCCCAGGACAATTCCTACCCTCAAAAAACACTTCTATACACACGTAGATACTGTAGATCAATAGATCGATAGATAGATAATATACAATACTAGTAGTAGATACATTTTTAGTCTTTACAATTTTCCCCAACTAAATGTTTGTAATTAAATTATTTTTTTATTTTTAGATATGCTAATGGGTGAATAAACCTTAATCTGTTTCGATATGGTGATGTGATAATGACTGAGTAAAGTGCTGTCTTGTAGATATACTTGAGTCTGCATTATTCTGGGGTTAATTTGTGCATTTACAAAGATGTGGTATTCATTAAAAAGTGACAAACAGGGTAGTAAAATTTTTAAATTTTATCTTTTAACTTTGACATTGGACAGATAATGGTAGGTACTGTTGTGTAGTATATAGCCCTAATATATAAGCCATGTAGTAAAATCTTTTTATTTTGACAATTTAAGAGTTCAGGGTGCTACAGTGTGTTGGCCCAGTGTACAGTATGAATAACATAGTAAAAATCCTTTAACTTTGACGATTTACAGATAATAGTCATCATCCACAGCCATGGGACTGTTCAGCTCCCCTACACCCTATCACGGACAGGTATACAGTGATCTTCGCAAGCAGGCCCAGACATCAGGACATCCGTTCATAGACACGGATTTCCCTCCAGATGACAAGTCCCTGTTCTATACCAAGGGGAAACTGGCGGGAGTGGAATGGAAAAGACCCAAGGCAGGTTTTTTGATTATGATGATGGTGAAAATTTGAAAGGAAGTTGAAGAAGATTGATGACATTATGATGATAACAATAATAAGTTAATTGAACTGTAAATAATAAAAACACTCAGCATTGCAAAGGGCCACGGTACTTGCTTTTCTTTCATGATTCTTTCTTTCTTGATATGAAAAAAATACAATTATAGTGATAGTTAATTTAGCTAATTATGATGAATATCAAACTGTTTATAGTATAAAAATACTTATCCTGTTATTATTATTTGATTATTCTAGGATATTTGTGAAAACCCCAAACTGTTTGTCGAAGGAACAAGTAGTGGGGACGTATCACAAGGCCAGCTGGGTAACTGTTGGTTTGTGGCAGCTGCATCTTGTTTGGCCAATGAGAAGGCAATTTGGCAGAAGGTATGCGATACATGAAGGACTTTGAAGTAACATGTGGGGACAAATTTTTAGATTTTTTTATGCAGGCATTTATGTTGTAAATTGTCATGTTTTAATAAGTCCTTGTGACTTTGTGGTTCCTAGATAAGACAAAGTTTTGTTATTTTAGTTGAATTATTTTTCTTTTTGAAAGATTTACTCCTTTAAATGTGTTAGGAACTTAGGAGAGTCGAAAATGTGTCTAAAATTTGAGGGGAGGGAGAGAAGTCAGTGTACAGCCTGGTCATTATTGTAGCAGTCTCAATTCTTCTTTTCTATTATTACCTCTTATTTCTCTTTCCAGGTTATCCCAAACCACAATTCTTCTTTAGTATTATTACTTCCTATTTCTCTTTTCAAGTTATCCCAAACCACAATTCTTCTTTAGTATTATTACTTCCTATTTCTCTTTTCAAGTTATCCCAAACCACAATTCTTCTTTAGTATTATTACTTCCTATTTCTCTTTCCAGGTTATCCCAAACCACAATTCTTCTTTAGTATTATTACTTCCTATTTCTCTTTCCAGGTTATCCCAAACCACAATTCTTCTTTAGTATTATTACTTCCTATTTCTCTTTTCAAGTAATCCTAAACCACAATTCTTCTTTAGTATTATTACTTCCTATTTCTCTTTCCCGGTTATCTTGAACCACAATTCTTCTTTAGTATTATTACTTCCTGTTTTTCTTTCCAGGTCATCCCAAATCACAAGGACCAGGAATGGGACGACCAGCATCCAGAAAAATATGGCGGCATATTCCATTTCCAGTTTTGGCGATATGGCGAGTGGATTGACGTTGTGATCGATGATTTCTTGCCTACAATTGGGGGCCAGTTGTGCTTTGTGCACTCAACATCCAAGAATGAATTCTGGAGTGCCTTGCTGGAGAAGGCATACGCAAAGTAGGTGCCAGTACTATTGCGGTAATATTTTAAAGACCACCTTAATATAAACCTTAGGTTATTAAAATGTGATCTCAGTTGTTTATTCATTTTTTAAATTTATTTATTTATTTATTTATTTATTTATTTATTTATTTATTTATTTATTTTGCAACTTATGTTTTGGACTTTGCATGTTTATATTGTATGGTCATCATTTTCAAAACTTGTTTAATTTAGATGAAAATATTGTCTCACTTTGGCAGTGTTTCCTGACTGGTTGGGTCAAATGGTTAGTACTTACTTCAGGACTGTAAGTTTCATTGTTATTGAAAATCGTCTTGATATCGTGAAAAATAAGACATTGCTGAGTAAAACCAAAGAAAAGGATTTCCCTCTGTGTAAAGATGTAATTTTATTCACAGGTTATTTGGTTGCTATGAAGCACTAGATGGAGGTAGTTTGGAAGAAGCTCTCACAGATTTTACAGGTGGTATCGCAGAAGATATTAACATCAAGGAGGGCCAATACGCCACAGACACAGTCAAGCAGATGGAATTATGGGATATGGCATACAAGGAGATCCAGAGGAGATCGCTTATGGCAGCTGCAATACCTGTATGTATATTATTATTGAATATAGAATTTCATGGAAATGTTTCAATATATAATATACTTCCGGGTCTTCCCTTAACTTGGACATATTATTGTGACTGAGGCATTTGTGATACAGTGTTTATCCAATTTAAGCATTTACCAAATTAAAGAATCCCCTCTTCGTGTGAATAGTTCATGGAAAAAGATGATAGATATTTACTGCTTACATAAAAGGGTGGGTGTGTATATTTGTGAGTATTAATTGGCCCCTAGTGTAATAGACATCGGGAAATGTTTTTTTGGGAATTAAAATATGTACTTAAATATACAATGTACTATATGGTGTTGCTGAAAGGGGCTTTATTATTATCAAATACTACAACAAATATCCTTGCTAAATGTTTTGTAATCTTTAGCTAGACTTGGTACAATTGCTAAAATACGGCTTGTGATGTTCTAGAATGTTTTACAGTGTGTCTGTGTATTGTGTTATATAGTCTATATTTCAATGATTTTAATACAATTTTCAAAACAAAAATCTAACAAAACTCCTTCAGGCCCAATCAGCAGATGAGATGGAGGCAAAAACAGACACAGGTCTGGTGAAAGGCCACGCCTACGGAATTACCGCTGTGAAGAAAGTGCCACTAGAGGGCACTGGGCTCTTCAACTTCTTCAAGAAGGACAAAATTAAGATGGTGCGACTGAGGAACCCGTGGGGAGGAGTTGAATGGACGGGGGCTTTTAGTGATGGGTGAGAGCTCAAGACAAAGTGATATCTACCAATATCTATCCATATCTACCAAAAGGAGCAAAATTGCAGGGTTTTGTAATTAGAGTTTAAACCAAGAATTTATATATATTTTATGTATATTTTCAGATTATATTTCTAACAGCAAATTACAAATATGATTATTATTTGTAATTGTGGAATAATGTATTGAATTACACTAATGTAGTTCTGATTTTTTTTCTGTTTTTAGATCGCCAGAATGGGAAAAGATTGGAAAAGGAGATCGAGAGAAACTTGGACTGACTTTTGAAGATGATGGAGAATTTTGGTGAGCAACATATTTATTAAAAAAGAATTGAATGGCAGAGGTGAAAATTTATTTAATTTGATTGATTTTTTTTTTTTTTTGCAACAGTTGCATTGTTCAAAGAAAAATTTGAGCTTATTAAATCTGATAACAAATTTTGACAGCTTTTCAGTTTATGTACCCTCTTTGTAGATTTATTATGATTAGCTGACATTTCCACATTCCAGTATAAACGATTCACAATAATAGCAATATAAGCTAAAATAGCTTTTATTAGTCATTCACCAACAAGACTATAGAAGTCACTGCTTGGTAATCTCAAGCCAAGATGGGGTATCTTCCCTAACTATGGATTTAAGTTCATTTTAATGGAGTATTAAAATTATTTTTATATTTCAATCTCTAGGATGACTTTCGATGACCTCTGCACCTGTATTTATATTTTATCCTATAGGATGACTTTTGATGACCTTTGTACCTAAATTTTATATTTTATTCTATAGGATGACTTTTGATGACCTTTGTACCTAAATTTTATATTTTATTTTATAGGATGACTTTCGATGACTTCTGCACCTATTTCACCAATATGGCCATATGCAGGGTGGTGAATACATCGTTCTTCAGCCTTCACAAAGCGTGGTGGGAGGCAAAGTTTCACGGTGCCTGGAAAAACCCCATGAGAGCTGGTGGCTGTTTGAACAACAAAGACACATTTTTGAGGAATCCTCAGGTATAAATAAATAAATAAATAGGAGGTTATATGAACTTCAAGTGTTTGCAAGGTCAGATTATACCATATTAAAAACTAAAACATTTTAGAAAAAAAGTATTTAGTCTAGTAAATCATTTCGAAAAAGACGAATTAAAAATTTTTTATCTATGGCATGACCTCTTGACCCTTCATCCAAGTCCCTTGATCAATCTGACTTACCAATGTACTTTTTTTACCGTCTAAAGTATACAAAAGAGACACTTATTTCATCATGTTGTTATTGTAACAGTCGTTATGTTATACCAAAAGTTTCATTTTTTTTCAGTACGTCTTCAAGATAACAGATGAAGAAGATGAGGTGATGATCTCTCTGATGCAGAAGAGTGGGCGTGGAGACGGAGACCCAGATAAACTGACAGTGGGATTCTCAATAATGAAGGTTTCCTCTCTCTCTCTCTCTCTCTCTCTCTCTCTCTCTCTCTCTCTCTCTCTCTCTTCCCCCGTCCCTCCTTCTCTCTCTCTCTATCCCTCCCTCTGTCTATTTGTGGAGGGTCAGTGGGCTTTTTAAAAAGGTGTTGGAAGAGATTGGGTAATGCATGAGTTGTAGTGTAACTTGAGTACATAAGAGGTAATTTCGTTTACTAGCTTGTAGCCCCTGTGATACTTGATAATCCGACAAATGTTTATTGATTATTTTCTTTACTTGATGAAAAAATAAGGCGTCAGATTTTCAAGCAGATTGGCACAGATTGCCAAAAGAAATGACAACCAGGTTTGCAAGCAGATTTGACATTTTGGTTCCCTTTCAGGTTGAAGAAAATCGGCGTTACAGAGTCCACAGACCACAAGAGATTGTCAAGTCCTCAGCCTTCAGAAATAGCCGTTCAATTTTCCTCCGCCATACTCTGAAGAAAGGGCGCTATGTGCTCTTACCGTGTACTTTTGAACCTGGAAAAGAGGGACAGTTTTTGCTGCGGATGTATACCAGTTCTGATAATGATGCAAGGTGAGTAATGCTTATGATTTTGTCACTCTGGGTTTCAGAGGTAATGGGGAACTTGTGTCCAGTATCAGCTTGCCCTCCTGAGACTTCCAGTAACACCCTGAGTATCAGGAGCTGTGGCAGATCGGAAGACGTGAGCCTCTTCATTTAAGCCCCCTTTCCATTGGATGGGGTCCTCTCTGCATCCCTAAGTACACCCCACGTTCGAGAGTTTAAAAAAAAACTTTATGTGTGGACAACTGGCCGATCATTGAGCAATCATTTTGCAACCAAAGGGATGCTTGTGCCTCCTTTTTACGACCACAGCGATGCCAGTTTCATGATCACACAAAGGACGCAGAAAGGATGCCATCCAGTGCAAAGGGGGTTTTAGCCCCTGAGGTACCTTCTTCACCCCCCCCCCCCAATCCCCCCAAAATACTGAATTCTGAAAACTTACCTCCTTTACCAGCGGTGACACCCTTATGTACTATGCCAGTAGTGTGCTGATAGTGAACGTAATTTCTTCAGTTACCTCTGAGACTGGTGATAAATGTGTGTATAGTAGTGCTTTTGATGGTGGCTATAACTGGAAAAAATTATTCATCACAAGTTTTGAATTAAGATTCAAAGTTGATAAACACTGTGGTTCTGCTAATTATAAACATTTTATGTGATTTTTCTATAAGGCAGATTTATGATCATTTGATTTAAGAAAACATGTAAGTAGACATGGATAAGCACATTACATGTTTGGGCAATTATGACATTTATTTGATATCTGTTTTTTTTTCTGATTTAAGAGATTTTTGTATACCATTTGATAATTTACAAAAGCTTATATTTACTAAATGTTACTTTGCAAAAGAATTGTATTATCATCGATACAGGAGTCCATTCCATTTTGTGATCAGATTTCAGAGTAGCCAAAAGCATATAGAAAGATTATTACCTCCACTTTTCATCTTTACATTTCAAGGGTATAAAGTCACAACATATTATATAGCCATAGGCATGCATGCATATATGCACACTCATGCACTTGTTGCTATCACATTTGATCAAGTAAATTGAGCTGCTTTTCATAGAAGAATTTCATCAGCTGTGTTAGATTATAAGAATGATGTGATTTTTTTCTTCAGTCAACAGCTAACATCTTCTTCGGGAATAGCCTCACTCCCTGAAGAAGATTTCCTGCTAGACATCGAAATATTGGAGGTAAAAACTATCTCAATATTAGCTGTTGACTGAAGAAAAAATCACATTCTTATGAGCTGCTCGTGTTGCTCTGGTGCAGAAGATTGACCCATAACAGCTCTGCTTTTGGTTGTGTTTCTTGTTCGGACTAATGACCTTGATAATTCATAACTAGTCAGGTCATAATCTAGACTGAGAAATAGGTCAGAACAATGACCTAGATTGAGAACTTCATCAAGACAGTGACTTTCACAGTTGATTATACGAGCCCATACCAGCGTTTTCAAAAAAAAAAAAGGGGGTGAGGGGGGAGTCTTTTTTTTTCTGAAAAAGTGGACCTTTAACCATGAAACCTTGTACCTAGATCAAATTTTACCCAGAGAAGTCCTTTTCCCAACATAAAGGGTGGTTCGTTGGAATCCCCCCTCCCCGGCTTCAGGCCTGTAATAATAGGTGACAAAAATACTGCTAACCTTACAGAGAAATTATCCGTGACCTCCCTCCACCAGACCTGTGGATGCCATGTTTTCTACAAACAGACCCTCAGCAAGTGGCACACATTGTAGTCAAAAATGCTGTTGGTCTTGAAAGACAGGATACAGCAGAAGGAGGTCAGGATGGATGGTCTTTGTCAAATAGCATGCTTTCTGTTTACATATGTGCATGAGACTTAACTGTATATTATATCATATGTGCTTTTGATGTTATGTGAGCTTGGTATAAATGTCCTTTCTAAACTCTGGGGCCTGTTTCTCAAAAATAATTTGGCCCAGACGTAGATCTTTATTTTTTTAGCCCAAAATTTCAGTCCACATTACCCCAAGTTAATGTGGTAGTAAACTAGACCAGCTATTACTGGTATATTGCACCTTTTTATTACAAGGGATACTTTTCTTGGAACAATTCTTACTTTATTCATTTTTTATACAAGTTAACTGCTTTGGAGTTATTTTTAACTGAAGCACACCATATCTCTGATGTTTTTAAAAGTAAAAACTTTTTTGAGAAATCAGCCCCAGGAGAAGACGACGACATTAAAACTACTAGTAATGTAGATTTTTAACCCCCAAAGCACTTTGCATAAATGTATAACTTAGAGATTTTCTAACTTTTTGAGGCATAAACAGAGGTTTCTTATTTTTTAGTGTAAAGCTTTTATATGCAGTTTCAGTGGCTATTTAAGTGCTCACAGTGCCTTTTTTTAGTGCTTGTAAACTTAGTTTGTGTTTTTATTCCTCAGCTGGTGTACCCCTTGTTTATTAGGCTGTTGCTGACAGCTAACAGTCGGTAATTTAATGAACACTTGTGACAAGAAAGTAGACAGTGCCACTATTTAAAACCACAGTCATTTACTAGTATTTTCTTCTTGCAAATTTGTTTGCAGTTTGCCACACCTGAAACAAAAAAAGAAGTTTGAATTCCAATTGTCAGTTCCCATGATTGCCTCCCCCCTCTGAGGCCCCTCATGACCTTGGTCTGACCTCTACATGGGATCAGGTAGTAAAAATTATTCCAGTTAACAGATCATTGCTTTGGGGTATTCAGAACAAGTTGATTAGTCGACTTAAAGATCCGTGGACTAAATATGGCTGACTCACTTAAAAAGCAGTGCTGATGGCCTCCCTGCCTCCACACATACTATATCTGCAGGCCAGGGACCTCGCAACTAAATTTTGGAGTTGAGATTTAAGCCATTTAATGCACCTATGGAAGGGGGAGACTCGGGAGGGATTGAGCGACACTGTTTTTTAAGTTCTTTTGGCCATATTTAGTTGGCAGATCAGATAGTCAGCAGATCATCTGTTCTGAATGTGCTCTTTGACTCTATAATTCCAGTGGTTTGGTCCATGATCACCCTGTTCCTGGATTTTATACGCCATGTTTTATGTGGACACCACCTCAGATAGTAACTAGAACAGTTGTGAAACAAGCAAATGGCCTTGAAAATTTGGATAGATCCACAGGTGGAGGTGAGAGAAGTGTGGCAAGGTCAAGCAAGGTCAAGGTCAATATAAGGTCAATGTCAGCTCAGGAAAACGGACTCTGCCCCTCTCCCTCCAACCTCCTTTGACTACTCTGATATCTTTCTTTCTTTTGTCACTCGTAACATGAGAAATTCTAGGACTAGGACAATAAAAAAGGGACACCATTGTGCTTCTGCTCCTCAAGTACATGTAAATATGTAGATATGCAAGTACTTGGCAACCCCGTGATAGAATAGGGCACTTATTTCAAGCTAGCATGTGGAATGTGACATGATGCACTTATTATAGTATATTTTATACTCCGAGCTAGCATTGGAATTATGCTTAACTGTTGTATGGGTATGAGGAATGATTTGGATTATGTATATTCATATTGTTATTAGGCTTGCAACTTATATATCTTTAATACAAACCAAATAGAGTTATACATATTTATATAAAAATATTATAGCCATAGGAGTGTTGCCTTTCAGATTCATAAGAAAAGATTCCAATGAAAGAGGGTTATGTTTTTGTCAGTGTTTGGGTTGCCTGTGTGTCTTTTTCTTAGTCAACAAACTATCTCAAGTAGTCATTCACAAATTTTGATGGAAGTTTCAGGATAGACTGATTTTTAAGCAGAAAAGAAGTGATTATTTTTATTTAATCTGGGTTTGATGATTTTCAAAATATCTTGTTCTAGTTCAGTTTTCTCATGAGGTTTGTATAAGTTCAGGAAAAAGAGGAAGTCAGTTTTCATTTTCCCATCTTTTCTGAAATGGGAAATGCTGATGGAATTTTGAGTATGTCAACTTTGTATCACAGATTAAGTCAGATTTCAGGATTATTGCCAAATTTTTTACAGGGTACATGATTGCTAGCTGGATCTATTTACTGTATCATCTATTCTCTGTGATTTAAATTATGAGCAGATCTCATCAATTTTAAAAAAGAAAAGCCTTTAATTCTATACCTTAGGGAGATGATGTATGACTCCCCCCAGAAGCCTTGTCTGTGTTGTTTCTGTTGGTCAGCGCCCCAAATGGTTACTAAAGTTATCACACGCAGAGCAACCGGTCTGGAGAAACAAGACTCAGTAGGAGGTAGGGTGTGCTTGACCTTGAACTTTGACCTGTGGCTATCATACTAACCTTGACCTTCTACTTTTGACACTGACCTTTACTTCTAACCTGTGGTAGATGTAGTAGGCATGGTGAGCTTGACCTCTGACTTTCTTAATTACTTTGAACTCTGACCTGTGACTTTTATACTGACATTGAACTGTCGTTTTCACATCGACCTTGAACTTTAACCTGTGCTTTCACATTGACCTTGATCTTTAACCTGCATTTGTTCATGGCATCGGTTTAGCCAAGAAGTCAAGACCTTAGTTAAATTTTTAGAAGAAAATTATTTTTAAATTCCATTTTATGAAGAAAATGTTCACAGTCAAAAAAATTTAGATGATTTAGTGCTGTTGACCAACCTTTCAATTTATTGTATGAGTTACATTAGTTATTACCTGGTGATGTTTTTATGTTTCAAGTTGGTGAAGGTTTAGCCTGCTTTAATGCAATGTATTAGATCCTACTGTAATTACTCAATAAATATATACAGCATGAATTATAATATATCCATAAAATATTTTTTTAAGTAATATTTCAAATTTGATTCAAAGGCTTTGAAAAATAGTTGGGTGTAATTTTAAAGAGCATGCATGTCTGATAATGATAAAACCAGAAGTTAAATGTTGGACAAAGTGCGGCATTTTAAATTTTTGAGTAATTACTGTATGTGAACTGCATGCTTTGTTTTGGTGGTAAAATTGGGCTTGCTTGTATTTGCAAATTGTTTAAGTTTTAAGCTGTTATAAGCTATATACGCATTTACAAATTATGAATAATACTTTTTAAGACACTGAGTAAAATGTATTTAAAATTTTTTCCAATGATTTTATAAACATGTGATATTTTGCAATAAAAATAGTTTTAGAAACTATAATTGATTTTGCATCATTGAATCAATTATTTATATGGAAATGATTAAAGACTTGTTTCATTCACAAGTTTTATCTAGATTCCAATACACTCCTATTACAAGGAAAATGTGGTACAGTTCTGATTTATCTTAAAATACTGTTCTAATTTTAAGGCGCAGACCCGTACTGTATCATAAGCTGTGAGGGAGAGAAGGTGACCACTCCCGTTCAAAAGGACACTCTCAACCCAGGCTGGGACACGGCGGCCATCTTTTACAGGAAGAAACCGTTAACTAAACCAGTCAAAGTTCAGGTAATGTTTGAACTTTTTTTTCCATTATTATTGTTATTATTAATTTTTTTAAGGGGAGGACTTCTTTGCTGGACAATCCTGCAGATACATCTGACTGATTGTTGTATTATGAAATGAATAAAATATGAAGCATTCAAAAACGTGGTCAAAACATTTAATTTTCATTTATATATTATGTAATTTTAATGTTGGATTTTTAAAATTTTTTTAAGGACTGGTAATCATAACATAAATATATGCTTTGTGAGAAAGCTGTAAATGTACTTGTTTGATCAAAAATTTAATTTTTCTTCCAGATTAAGAACTTTAAAAAAAGCAATTGCCAGATCTGTGTTGAATATGGAACTGTTATGGTTTTGTTAAAAATTATTATTATTATTTAATTAATTAATTAATTAATTTATTTATTTATTTTAATTTATTTATTTATTATTTTTTTTTTTTTCAGATTTGGAATAGCAACAATATCAGGGACGAGTTCATGGGACAAGCCATCTTTGTTGCCACTGAGCCATGTGAGAGTAAAATACTAGAGGTGGACCTTTACGGAAGAAAAAACGAAAAAGCAACCAAAAAACCAGGGAAGCTGATCGTTGAAATGACAATATGCAAGGAAGTGGATGCTCTGTAAAAGAAAGAGTAAAAAAGAAGAATGCAACTGAAATACTGTAGATGTGCAAAATTTGGTTAATTGCCCAGTCCTGAAAATTTACTCAAACTATCACCAGTCGGTAGATTTGTGGACAGACTTAGGCAAAATGATCAACTTATTTCAAGATGTGGGATTCTCCTCAATATTTAAAATGCAGCTGAATTTCTTTCTACGTGAACAAAATTTTATTAATTACCCAGACCTGAAAAGTTACTCATACAATCACCAGTTGCTAAATTTATGGACAAACTTATGCAAAATTGTCAACTTGTTTCAAGATTTGGGGTTCCCTTCAATATTTAAAATGTAGCTGAATTTCTTTCTATGTGAAAAAAATTTCATTAATTACCCAGTCTTGCTAGGTTACTCATACAATCACCAGTCGGTAATTTTATGGACAAACTTATGCAAAATGATCTACTTGTTTGAGGATCGGGGATTCCTCTCAATATTTACAGCAGAAAACAATTTTGATCAGAAGGTACATTCCCTTCCATGGGACCCTTGTAAGATAGTGGCAAGAAGCTTGCAGCAGAGTGATAGGGGGTTTTATTTGTTCATAAAAAAGCTTGGTCTCCAATTTTATACCCAAAATAAATCAAAAGTAGTTCAAAAATATGAAACAGGGTGTCCCGTGTAATAACAAGCAAGACATGCTGTTTCTGTGAAATACTTGTACAGTAACTAATTTTTAAGGGGACAACTATGTAGTCTCCAAATGAATTAGACCATTTTTATTAATTTTATCTATAGGCAAATAGGTCATATTAGACAAATTTGTTGGGCTGAAGTTTTTTTGTGAACATGAGTGTTCAGTGTTGAAAAGTGCGACTTCAACAGCAATTATTTTCTAACAATATATCTCTTTCCAATTTCATTTATTTTCTGTAAACAAAACGTTGCTATGAATATGTTAATTATGCTTTGCTTCTCGCTAATGTTTGTTTAATTTCAAAGAAAATGGACACTTTGAGGGTAACATGTTCTTTTAAAAGGTATGAGCATTCTCAATATAGAATTTTCCTTGTGCATTTTCTTAGGTTGTTTAGTTTGCAGAAAAAAGGGCATTTTTTGTTTGTTTTTCTGTCTTGTATAAAATTCTATAAAGTTTTTGATCTTGTAGCAAATAGGTCACATTAGAGACTAACTTAGATAATGGTAGAATTTTTTTGGCTATGGTGATGCTTGTTGCTGAGATATCTTGCCACAAAGCTAACAGCTTTTTAGTCATAAAATGGTCTGGGAGAATCAAGACTTGCCTTTGCTGCATGGATGCATAACCAAATATATTACCTAGCAAGGGTTTCTCACCATCCAGCCGTCATTTGAACAGCCGCCAGTATCACCAGTTGGCCTATATTTTCAAAGAGGGCTGGACAGCTTATGGAATTTTGGAAATTCAACGGCTTTAGGCATACTTGGACTCCCTTATATTTTGTAGGAAATTACAGGTGGTAATTTTGGATGGCCTGTACCCCCAATCCTGGGAAAAGCCATTTCCACTGAAAAGGATGCTTGTAATAGCAGTGATATTTATTTATTTAGATTTTGCCATTTTGTGCCAAGTGTAGGGTTCAAGTGATAAACATTGACTGAAGAGAGGAGCTAGTAAACAAATTATTTTAGAGAGAATACAGGAGCACACATCAGCATATCATAACTGTGTTTGCATTTGCTAGCAGATTTTGAAGATATTTTTACTGGTACATTATACATTTATATGTTTTCAGGCTTTGCATTATATATATATTATCTGTGAGGACAACACTGACCTTTATTATCCAGAGGAAGGAAAATGTGTGTAAAAAGTCCAGTTGCAATTTTATACTTTTGTAGGTTTTGTCAGCAAAAAAGATTCTGGTCAAAGTGTTTTATGTAATGATGTTAAAGAAAGTGTTTCAACAATCATGGTATACTAAACAAATTTCCAATTTCATTAGAACAAAATTTTATCATTTAATTAAAATTTCTTTAATGGTTTGTGTAGCTGCATGAACTTTATATATAACTTGCATCTGGAATCTCGAGGAGTCCTTATTAAGGCATTAAATTCTGGGTCAATTTACTTCACGTATTTGAAATTTTTACATAAATAGATGCATTATGATTTATTATTTCTGAAAGTGTGGCATATTTTTGTATTGACACATTTTTTTACATCCCCACAATTAAATAAGGGCAGGTTTAGTGCTTACTGCTTTCCTTGTTTGAAATGATTACAATAGATAAACAGTCACTGTAACTTTTTCAGAGTGCTATTTTTATAGATGTGAATCTTTTGCTTGCAAATTTTCTTACAAAGTGAGTTATGGTAAAAATTGGAATAAAACGCGTCTCAAAATGCTGTTTACTTATTTCTTCATTTTTGAAAAATGATTTGTAAATACTTTACAGGAATAATTATACTGACAGTAAGTGAAAACGCATGAGAACACTTTCTTGTACTTGTTTACCAAGAATCGATTCCAACCATATAAACTAGTACAAATGCACTCGTTTGGTCATAAGAGAATGGGCTGACCACTCAGATATTTAAAAATTCTGCTTCAGTGATTTTGTGATCAGCTATTACAAAATCATGTGTTTTTCCTGTTTCGTGATTGGTGTGAATTAATCAGGTTCAATATATGGTGATTAATTAAGCCTATTTAAGGTAGTCACCAAATCCAGTATGACACATGACAAAAAAAGTTCAGTGATGCCATGCCTGACTCTGGAAGAGCGACTGCGGGCCCTGGGGATGCTGGGCGGAACCAAAGAGATTTGATCACATGACCTTGCATGACGTTTTCTTACCTTTATTTCACCTTGTATGACTGAATAATAGGTCATATTTCCCACGAAAACTGTTATTTACTTAATGTGCCAAGAAATTTAAAACATTATTTGATTAAAAAAAATGATGCGTTTTTATGGACTGTCAGTATACTAACCTCTGTCACAGATCTTACAGCATTTGAACAAAAACATCATACAGGAAGTTCCACTTTATTTTTTCTGAATCTTGACACAAAATTAATAAAATACAGAAAACATATCTAACAAAATACACAACACCATGAGATATTTATGACATACAAAATGTTCATTCTCAGTTCCAGAGTGGCTGTCCTTAAAACTGCTTTTAAAACCTTTTAATCTATCTTTCATAAAGTACAGGCAATGTTATCCTCTCTGATGTTGTGAATATTTCGGATGCATCCTATTCCACATTCAGTCTTTTTTTTTGTCTCCCTTGTTAGGCTGCAAGTAGCTTGTCATCTGTTTTCTTTATTATTTAATTTTTCACTTGTATTAATATTTATCTATTTTAGTTTCTTGATTTGAAACTTGTGTACAAGTTGGAAATTACAAATGGGAACAAGCAAGTCAAATAAACCATATGAGAACAGATATCCTCCTTTGTATCACTGGAAGCGTCACCTGTCACATTGGATCTGTTATGACGAATTTAAAGCACACTGCTCTCTCAGATGTCCACCATTATGCGTCTCACAAAAAAATGACAACATGACATTCAGACAAGGTTGTCCTCTTAGATGCAGTTAAGAGATATGAAGGCTCCAATCACACAATCAGTTAAAAGAAATTGGTGAAAACCTTTCACCCTAAGTAAGATATAATCCACAAGATATGGTATCTATCTTTCATAAAATACAGGCAATGTTATTCTCTTCGATGTTGTGAATTTTTCAGGTGTAGCAGTTTCTATATTTAGAGCTGACTTGGAGAGTGCCTCGATCATGATTTACTCTCTGCTGTTCATTTAGCTTTTATAGTGGATGCCATTTTTTTCTGCTTCTACCGGTACATGTGCAGGTAGACTACTATATATAGCCACAGTGTTCAGGGAATCTAGTGAAAATAACAACTGAAAAGGAAAACGATAAACAGTTCAGTAGACTATCAGAACACCATATATTCTGAGATATTCTGACTTTTTATTTTAAATTTATTATTCTTTAAATTAATATTGTAAGTATTATTTATTTTTATAACTTACATAAAACAATATTTCTATGTATCGTTTTCAAAGTACACCTAATACCACAGAGTAAATAAAATGTATTTTGATACTTCTTAGTCAAGGGGGAATCCTACCTTTTTTCTTCACAATACACTTTTTCTCACTGCTGCCTTCAACTTTGTTGTAGGTGATGCTGAAAAAAAAAGATCAACAAAGAGAGCAAAGCAAAAATATAACTTGCATCATCGGAAAGATGTTGCAGCCTTTGCTTGTATCCATGTTTTCTATTTATTATAAAACATGTTACTTTGTAAAATATGTATTATGATTGACATAATATCTGGGAATTTTGAGTTACAAATTCAGCAAAAATGTAGATAATGTAATCTGTTGTTTACAGTGCTGCATGTAGCTGGATCACTCATAGTTACACTAATTCAATTGTTACATGAATTCCTCACATTTGTATCACCTCAATATTTACTTTATATGTCACTCTTGCTGTGGTTTTAATGTGTGTTCTTTTCAGCATAGATTTAGATTACAGTGTGCATTCTTTTAGATCACCAGTGTAAGTATTTTTCAAGGCTTTAACAAGGAATTAACTCCACTTAAAACTAAGTCTTACAACCATAGGAAATGAACATAGTCAATTTATTCAGAACAAGAGACATCTATGAAATTGAATGATACAGATAGAGAACTTATGCTGAATGATATCAAACTTCAAACTGTTCAGAGTGCAAAAAAAAAAAAAAATGCTGAGGAACACCAGAACCTGCAATCTCAACTAGACAAAAAAAAAATAAAAAAAATGCTGAGAAACTCCACAACCTGCAATCACACCTAGAAAAAAAGGGGGGGAGGGAGGATAATAATCACATGGACTCCAATACCCAGTGATATGGAGTCTGGGAGGATTCTGAAAAAGACATAAGAGCTAGAAGAAGACCAAAAGAAGGAAGAGTGATCACTCAGCAACCCACTGGTCTAGAGGAGCTGTTAAATGCAGAGTACACAGAAAAGGAGGTCATATGTTCTTAGATGGAAGGGGAGAAATTACCAGGGCCCAGTTTCATAAAGGATGTTTAGCACTAACCAGTGGATAAATTCTCTAAACACTGGTTGACTAGATGGCAGTTCAAATTGTTTAATAAACAACATTTAAACAGTTGGTTAGTTAACGGATGTTTAATTGTTTTAACCAGTGTTTAGTTGCTATGAACAACTTATCCAGACCATATTTGAACATTGTAAACTAGCATGTCTCTACCGTAGTGGTTACTGAATTCTTTGACAAACTTAATCAAGAGCTGTCTATGAATACTCTATGTATTGGACATGAAGGGAGGGACTAGACATAGAAAATATTGCTACAAAAAGAAGCAATTAAGAAGTGAGAATATAAAGCCGATGGTAAATATTTCTTTAAAATCACAATGCTGCTGTACAATAAAAACTGACGAAGCTCTGTTGCTTTCCGTCTGTCCACCTCGCTGAGTGCCCTGCACTTCCTAGGAATTTATAAGGAACATATCTGCGAAGACTCAGCAAAGATTGAGAGATGGCACATATATTTGATTTCCACCAATTCGACTCAATGCAACGTACCGGGCCTTTCATCCAGAGGCAAATAAGTTTACGCACAACACCAAGGTAGAGCAAGTGCATAGGATCAAGCACAAATTGTGAAACTAGACAATTGAAATAAATGGTTTACATTTGGAAGTAATTGGTAAAAGGATAAGTGTTGAAATATCCTGCTTCATATGTGATGCACCAGCAAGGGCATTTGTTAAACAAATCAAAGGTCACACTGGATATCACAGCTGTGAGAGAAGTACTCAACATGGTCAGTGGTGTCGTAAATTGACATTCCCTTTTACTGATCGATTCATCTTTACAAACTGATGTTAACTTTGATGAAATGAGGGATAAAGAGCATCATCTAGAAGGGCCCTCTCCACTAGCACAATTGTCAGCTCCCCAAACGCACGAAGAATGCAAGGAGAAATGGCGACAACCTGTGACTGCCGTTAAGAAAGCTCACTGTGGCATATGTAGCCACAGTACAAAGACTGGGGATTAGATGGAGCTCCTGCTCCACCACTAGATTCTACAACACTGGAATTAATAGACAGGCACAAGAACAACCCCACCTTCAATGGCATCTCTGACGGGTTCGAAACAACAGGTATTTAATGCTTAAATTATTTTACAATTAGTGATTTAATATATAGATTTGTTTTTATAAATGTACTGCTATGCTGACAGTAATAGTCTAAAAGACATATATCTGCAAGGATTTCTGGCAAACCACAGCAAGTTTGTCTATACAGTGTGTAAATCCCCTATACAGCGTTTAGCAAAACGTTGGATAAATATGCATTGTATAAAGCGTATAAACAGGCAGGGTTGGGTTGTAAATTAATCCCCAAGCTAGCAAAATGGTGGATAAATATGCATTGTATAAAGAGCGTATAAATAGGCGGGTAGCTAACCGTTAGATAAAATCACTATACAGTAGATAATTGCTAGGAACAACCTCAATCATTTTGAATATATAGTTGCTATGAACAACTGAGTCTATGTCCATATTTGGTTACCCACAAGGCACTGCTGCTAAAAAAAGTACAATCCTAAAAATGTCTTCTGCTGCTGAGAGGACAAGAAAGTGCAATTGGTCTTTAAGGGAAACTTCCCTCCCAACTGTACTATGCCAAGTGCACCAACACACCATCAAGTCGAAACTCACAACAAGCATTGACAACATACAAAAGAAGTCTTGTTGGGAGGAGATATCTAACATGGTGAGTGCACTTGGCATAGCTCATAGGAGCACTCACGAATGCAAAGAAAAGCAGAGGAGCACATGGTGGCTAATGCCAAGAAGAGCATGGACTGGTAAAGCATGCTGGGGGAACTGGCAGTGAACTGGTAAAATTGATTGAGGTAGAGCTCCAGCGTTGGACCTGTTGCGCACACCCACCTGTTAAAGAATACACTTCGCTCTGTTTTAGGGGTTGTCATGGAGAATTTTTCTTTCAAAGCAGGTTGGCCATGGGCAAAAACATTTGTAATGTTCATTGCTCAAATATGCATGCATGCATTTTCACCATATTGCACCAGCTAGCCCAGTGTTCATATCATAACAAAGATTTAGTTCAGCAATAAAGCACCCAAGCATGTGGAAGAGAACGTCTATGTTAGCCCAAAAGGATACACGATCACAGCTTAATTATCTGTTTAAAAAAAAAATTGAATAAAAAAAAACTAAGGCACAACGTCATTCTAGCCTATTTTAGGTTCAGGTTGGCAGAGGATTTATGACTGAGTAAGCTTGCATATGGCTTCATTTCCCTGTATTGCAATAGATCGCCAAGATCATTCAATTACAGACATCATCTACTTATTGTTTGCATATGTTCCCCCCCCCCCCCTTAATTCCTTCTCTCTGTCTCTTTATTGCCATTTATACAGTACAGACGTGCAGTATGTTGCCTGTTCGCAAGTCAAATTGGTGCTTTACAACGCTGAATTGCGATGAAACTAGGAAGCCTGGAGCCCAGCCTTTTGAGCTTGGATCAGTTTCTTACAACATTGTTTGGGTCCAATCAAGCAGCTTTCCCTCCGTTTCTTTACTAGAAGGGAGATTAAGTGTGACTAGTACAGTGTATTTGTTATGCCCCACCTCTCAAATACCCGTCTTTGGCCAACTTCATGCTGCAATAACAGTATGCCTGATTCAGTGCTACTCATCAATTTAAATGATATGAAGAAATTTGCAACTGAATTCAAATCAACTGAAAACAAGAGTATCTTTTTTTTTATGTATTTCTACGTACTTGCACTTTGATACATGTACAACAGATCTGATGTTCACTTTGATAATGCAAATAAAAATATGTATTATTATATTGTATGCAAGGATATAAGGAATGGTTTGCAAACAATTTAATACCGGTATGTCTGGCCTGTCTTAGGTATGGGTGGGTGCATATAGTACTGAACATTGGATAGTATACATCTGGATGGATTCTGTTTGACTGAACTGAAATTACATGTAGATTAATAATCATAAATTATATAACAGTTGCACACTTAATTGAGCTAGCTAGCAAGACCATTCCCTATATCATTTCTTATGTCAAGTTTTCATCCCAAGTTCTGTCTTGTTGCCCAAAGGCAATTTATGTATTTTTTCCTCCTTGTCAAACCTGTTTTTAACCCATCTTTGGCTGACTACAATACATAATGCTTTATCAAATGAAAAAAATATATATAATAATAATAATAATAATAATAATAATAATTATTATTATTATTATTATGCTAATTCCTTTGTCTAGTTCTAAGTAAAAGGGCTATTTCAAATAGATGTTGGTTTCTTTCTTCTCTCTAACAGCCTAAAAAGTGCATCACTTACTAGAATAGATGTTTTAAGCATCTGATTCAGAAAAAAATATGGCTGCACTTCAGCTCAAAGACTGTTATACTCAAGCTTCCAAACTAATTCACCAACATGGCACTAATACAAGTCTACCAAAACCATTACATTATTTCCGCGTCAGCACATTTTATGCAGTTTGTTTTATTCAGGTGAGTGGATTTGCATTATCGTCAATTACATCGCATTGGGTAATGGTTCAAAACCAAGATTTTCTAAAATTGAATATTTAATTTTTTCTCAATAGGACTATATTAATTACAAAAATAAATAAATAAATAAATAAATGAAATAAAAAAAATACTCATGGGTGCCTTTCTTTAAGAAGGCAAGGCATTTGGGGGACAGGAGTTTGTCTTAAATTGTCCTTGACATCTGTCACATACAGATTATTCCTATCTTTCAAAAGGTCAAAATTTTCAGTTTCATGAATGAATCTGACCAGCTCTTTTTTGAAATTGTGAACCAGTTGTCATATTTGACAAGGAAAAAACAAAACAAAAGAATCTTATCACATATATGGCTTGTGTTTTGAAATTGGCCCTCAGAAACCCGCAATCCCATTACCTTTACATGCTCCACCACAGAAGTTGGAAAAAAGGATAAATATCAACATGAAAGGTGTATCAACAAAATTGTTTGGTACAGCAAATTTATCTTCCAGCTATGGACTGTGCTCTGAACATGACTCATATTGAATGGTGCATTGCTCATGTTTTTATAGCATGCAGTCTGGGGAGACATCCAAAAGTGGCAAAAAATATTTCCAATCATCCTCCACCATGAATGCAACCAGTTTAATGAAAATGCACAAAGAGAAAAGAGAATGGAAACTAATATATGGAATATAAAGACCAAGCTTTAACATGGGACTAAAATAATGATTTTGGAATGAGCACTGCAGTTGGTTACATACAGAGATTAACTGTATTATATTGTAACGNCAAAAAAACTCATTATTGAAAGAAGAAATCATTTTAATTTTCAATAACTTTTTTTACGCTTTGAATATACAGCAACTTTAAATTAAGTATCTTTACCATTGTAAAATATTATTTCATTATAATCATTATTTATTTATTTTATCTATTTTATTTATTTTTTTGTTAAAATTTTTCTGATGCAGTGTGCAGATGGCCAGGGAGCACTTACGATAGCTTCATTTTCACTAACAGTGGGATTGGACAGCATTTTGAAGGTACGGATGCAGAGGATATTCCAGGATTCCTCCTGGGAGATTCCTGTTATCCTCTCCACCCATATCTTATGACTCCTAAAGCCAACCCTCAAACAGACCCTGAAATTAAATACAACAGGGCACATATATCAACAAGGAACACCATCGAGAGGGCCCTTGGTGTTTTAAAAAGCAGGAGGAGGTAATTATTTTCTTTTTTTTTTTTTTTTTTTTTTTTACTTTTACATCATTAACTTGCAAAACATTCGTAAAATTTTTTTAAATAAGTTTTCTTACATCAGCATTTGCTTTCTGGATTAATTGAATTTCTTGTTTCATTTTTCCAGGTGTCTGGACAGATCAGGGGGCAGCCTACAATACTCCACAGATGTGGCCTGTAATATCATTATGGCTTGTTTCAGGTTGAAGAACTTATGCATTCGCGCTGGACTCCCATTACCAGGGGATGTCCAGCAGTTGGAGCCTGATGAGCTGCTCCCCCACCTTGGCAAAGACTGTCCAGATGGGTTATAAGAGCCAGAGAAGAACTCATCAGGCACAAGTTTTCATGATTTTTTTTTCTTTTTCTTTTTTTTTTGGTATGGGCATAGGGCACCGTCCTAGTTACTAGTAAGAATGCAACATAAAAGATTGTATCAATTTCATTGTATTGTATATATTGCATACATTGGCAAAAAAAAAAAAAAAATAAATAAATAAATAAATAAATAAAAAGGGTGGAGCAGGTTGGAACAATGTTTTTTCAACAACTGACAGACCCTCTCTTTATGCCTGGAGACATTCGGCCTTTTGGTTAAATTGCACTAAAAATCAGGTGGAAGAAACCATGAAGAATTCAATGAAAACTACTGGAAAAAGAAATCAAAAACAGGTTAGCATTTGGTTGAAGCCACTCAGCAGTAATGCCATTGGAGACAAGCAGCCAGGACAACGCCAAACAAAATAACGAATAAACAAGAAAAAGTTGCAATTGTACATTGCCAGACAAGTGTCCTCAACCAGGGGAATGCGACGTTGAATGTGAAGGCCAAATATAAATAGGTCACCACTAATGGCGCTTTAATCCCTGCGAATTTTTGATCAATGTGATGAACATTTACATTTTATCTTTATTTTTTTTATTTGTTTTTTGCATGGACAAGTTGCGCAAGTTGTGTAAAGAATTGTGTTTAGAACATGTGTCCACATAGGGTTTGTAAATATGAATCCAAATGTTCACTGACATATATAAAGAAGTGTTAAATGAGAAATGTCACTTTATTGTTTAGACTGGATTGACATTCTGTGTCAAGTGTCAGTGAAACTACAAGCATAACCATTCAATATTAACATTATTCAAATGTATGCACCTACTGTACTGGTAGTGTGCAGTTATATGTTTTATGCAGAGAGCAATGCCTCCAAAGACCTTGACACTGACTGAACTCCATATGACCTAATGGATAAGACGGCTTGATGGCTGTGCCTTTAAAGAGGCGCAAATTGGAATGCTGTATGTTGTATTCAACAACAACTTTATGTCCTCATTACTAGTAAAAGGAAAGTCAAGTACCTTGTTATAATTCACTGTCAAGCTCACCGTTTGTAATAAGGGATGGTTGTCCCATTAAAGACCACTATAACAGAATTAGTGCTTCTCAATGGACACTACCACCAGAGTCCTAAAGCTTGGAACTGAAAGCAATGAGAAAAATATTGGAGGAAAATCCCATCAAACAATGTCTCTGAAGACATTTTTAGATCTTATGTTAAAAATTTTCTGAACAGATCCCTAGGACAGTTGAAAACATTTTAGCAAGAGGTGGCACACCAGAAGTGCCTTCAACAGGTTGTTCAGAAGACAGTTTACTGACCATGTTGACGCTTGCTATGAAAATATTTGATTCTCTGCCTACTGACTGAATAGTTTTGATTATCATTGTTTTGCACAAATGTGTGTTGATAACAAAAATATAAATATATTTGTGTTTTCAAACTATGTATACAAGAGATAATTATTAGCAAGGGGAATTTCCAGTCAGAACAATATGCACCTCTATATCAGATGCATCAAACTAAAATTACATCTTAAATTTATACACTGAACTCTTTGTCACATGAAAGGGAGATGGGGGCAACTTCCTTCCAAAAGGGCCAAGCCAGCTTTGCTGCACAAAGACAATCACTGGATTCCAAACATGATGGACGAGGCCAGATAGAGGTATATCAAAACTTGGAGAATTGAGGTATATAAATCATTAAAAGCACTTAATAATAAAATGTATAAAGCTAATTTTAAAATATGGAATATTACATACCTTACAGCTTAACCATTTACTTTGGCAATTTTGAAAATTGTGAACCTGTAACAATAAATTATCTGATTCCGATAAATATAATTAAGAATGGTAGACAAGTTGAAAAAATAAGATGTAAGACATTACTGTAGTCCTATGTTTTTTAAGACTGAAAAATTGATTATATTGTAACGAACGGGGCTCCAATAGCTCTACACCAATGCCGACAAAAATTTACCAGTCCAACTTTAGTTGCCTTTCTAGAGCCATTTAAAGACGAAAAGATGCCAAATACCCCATGATTTTAAACAAAGAAAGAAACGTTAGATTTGTACCGCTGTACGTCAGAAAGTGTCAGAAAGTGTGAAAGTGCCGTCAGAAAGTGTGACCGCGCGACCTGCGGTCATGACGTCACGGTCGCTATAAATAACCGCTCAGCTGATCGTTAGCGGCGTCTTTCAAGTTCTTCAAGTTGAGGCNCGTTTCTACCATGAAGAAAGATGCTGATTTGCGCTACGCTACCATACCATGAAAAACGTTGCTCGATTTTATTACAAACTCTATGGCTTTAGGCCTTGTATATATCTCTTGAAATATCTCTTTTATTGAAAGCAAATTGGTGTATAATAATAATATTTGAACTGTAACCATATGCCTTTGTTGTTAATTTCGAAGGACCGGGATATACTTTCCCTGTTTCAACATCATATTCCCACGTCGCGTCCGGGGTCGTGCGCCGACGCGGCGACCTCGCGCGTTACAATATGTTCTTTAGAAAGAAGGGGTACAGTCCAAAGTTACAGAATAAATGGGAGGGCACATTAAAAATATTACAGAGAATGTCAGACCTAGTGTACCATATTCAACACAGTGAGAGAAGTAATCCCAAGATTGTGCATTATGATAACCTCAAGCCATTTTATGGGTCTAAACAGGTTGCTTATGCTAGGAGCATTTATCTTACAGGTTCAAGCCAACACTATGACAATGGATGGTGGGAGAGCGTGCAGGGCAGCCTCCAACAATTGTGTGAGACTGCCCTGCACCCTCACATCACCAAGGAAAATGTGGGAGAACTTTATGTGGTGGGCAGAAGGAGGAACTTAACAGACTTGACTAATTTTTGTATTAATTTTTTGTTGGAAAATTTTATTTTGATAGAGAAAAAGGTGATAGACGGGATTGTACAAGAAGACCCCATTTTCCTTTCTTGCAAGTTATTGTGGAGACTGAATTTAGAATAATAATACAAGATTTGAACTTTGCTACAGTGTTGATTGATTATTCTTTTCGTTATTTGGAATATGAAAGATTGAGTCACTTTATAGTGGAATAATTGAAGTTGAACAATAAATTAAAAGCTCCTTGATACCCCATTCATTTCACAGAAAGAAGTGAAACAACCAGAGAAAATCGAGACAGACCGAAAAGCAGGAACACTGAGAGAGGAAGCCAAAGAGAACAACTAGGAGATGGGAGGAGAAGTGAGCATAGAAGAATAGAACCCAGGCCTGCACTTCCCAGAAGCGACGTGCTCATTGTGAAAGTCAACCCTGAGGATGTCATTACACCCCCGAGAAAGACCATGAGGAGAGAACCAGAGGGAATGATGAGCCCCGTGACCACCAAAGGAACATAAGATAAGCTGATGAACAGAAAAGATGAAGAAAGAAACCAAAGAGAGAAACAGAAGGAAGAAAGAAGAAGTGAGTATAAGAGAACAGAAAAGGAGCCTGCAGTTCCAAGAAGAGACGTTCTTCTTGTAGGAGTGGACTCCAGTGGTGTGAAGACTTCCCCTAGAAAACAGAAAGAAGAAGAAAGAGTGATCCCGGGAAGACAGAAGTGAAGACTGCAGTTCCTGGAAGAGACATGCTTGTGGCAGGAGTGGACTCCAGCGGTATGAAGACTCCCCCTCGAAACATTGAGATCAAAGAAGAAATGACACCTACCTGTGCCTGGAGTGAAGGGAATATTTCAGATGATGCAATTTCGGAATTGGAGAAAGGCTCTCCCTTGAGCAGTATTCTACACAGCCCCATAACTTTATATGGTGGATAAATCAGCTAAACAGTCGGTTATACATTATACGTCTCTGGGAGGTCGTTTAAATAATTATACAGTGGATAAAAATGGCGTACCTGCTGAGGTTCCACAGGAATCCTCAGCAGTATAATCCACCTAGACAGAGGAGAGAGAGGAATTTTCGAAGAGAGGTATTTGACTTTGACAGCTATAGTGACTCTGAACTGCGTGCAAGGTTTCATTTCGGCAGAGAAGGTATTAATTTGATAGAGGGAATGTTGGAAGGGGAACTGCAGCCTGCTATTGGCAGAAGCTGTTCTCTCTCCGTGAGAGAGAGCAAGTTCTCATTGATTTGCGTCTTTATGCCTGTGGTTCATATCTCCAAGTGGTTGGTGATACTACCGGCGTCAACAAGGGCACCGTGTGCAGGGTTGTAAGAAGTGTCATTGGCCCTTTGCAGAAGAAAAGATCAATTTATTCAGTTCCCGATAGATCCTAGGGAGAAGGCCACGATCCGGTGTGGCTTTTTTAGGATTGCCAGATTCCCTGGGGTCATCGGCTGTGTGGATGGTACTCACAGTCACATAAGGATAACGACACCCATGTTGAATGAGCCTGCATTTGTGAACAGAAAGAATTACCACAGTTTGAATGTTCAGGCTATATGTGACCACAAAGGTATTGATCTTTATTACATATTCAAGGCATAAATATTAAAGTCTCACCGTAAATAACACATCCAACATCTGCAGCGTTCGTGGTTCAACTTTGTAAGTCGGCTATTTTTGCATCTATTGGGAAAATTTGGGCCAGTGCAGATTTGTTGGCCATTGGTGGCCATTGTAGAGTCTGATGTTTATGCAGCATCCACTGCAATGCAGTGGTTGTGTGGAAAACAATTCAACAGGGCAATAAGAGGGCTTACTTTGGCATGTAAAGCTTTGACATCTCTCAAAGTCAGCTTCTTATTTTGGTACCAAAGAAGGAATAGCGAAGTTTCACAGTTGGTGTGGGATGAGGTGTCAAATACGTAGGAGTTTTACAAGTCTTGTGCTGTGGGTTTTATGGCAGAGCTCGACAATAAGGATTGCCCGATTGCCCGGGGCAAGTAGACATTGATGTCGGGCAAGTCCACTCACCTGAATGCTTGTCTGTTCGGGCAAGTGTCAAAATAAAGTAAAAGAACAGATATTAAATTTAATAAAATCGTGAAAT